GGTGGGTCCTGCAGGGTCATTCGGGATTTCAAGCAGTGAGATCTGTGTTCGTGGGACTTGGACAAGCCACATAATCACTCAGGGCCTCTCAGAGGTTTGTTGTGAGGACTGTTGGCAGGAAATGCACTTAGCACAGCGCATGGTGGACGGTGGTGTTCAGCAAAGAGTGGCTACTGTGACCACACCCTGTGGTTCTGCTTGCCCTGCCAAGTCCTGGGACCTCCACTGTCTGGCTGTCACTGGCTGTGACATGAGGGCTCCGGGGTGGTGTCTCTTCTGCAGGCCTCTGTGCCCTGGTCATGTGTGTCGTGTCTGGGATTCTCCCTGCCAGGAGGAAAGGCAAGGTGCCTGGGGTGCCCTGGCATTGGCCAAACATGAGGCAAGGAGGCAGGCTCCATCCTCCAGTAAGTCAGGAGGGCAGGTTGTGGTTAGTGTCGTGTGTTATTCTCACTTTCAAATGCACTGGATGAAGCTCCGAGTGGTTACGGGACTTGACCCAGTCACTGCATCTTCTCTGGGCCTTGGACCCTCGCATCTGTGACTGTGGGTGATGGCCGCTCACATTCTATGGCCTCACCTGCCAATCCCCTGGCCTGCTGGGCAAGCAAAGGCACATGGTGGCCCTCAGTAAGTCACAAAGTTCCATAGCAGGAAGGGGCTACTGTTACTGTTACAACATTGTTACAGGGTTCTGGGGGGCAAGTGTGTGTGTATACGTGGTATCTTGTGTGTAGATGTATGTAATGTGTTTGTGTCTGTGTGTACATGTGTGTCCAGGAGTCTATCATTGACTGTGAATATGTATGTTTTCTGAATATGTACAAAAGGGGTATGTGTATGTGCATATATGCATAGTGTATAAGTCTGTGTTTGTATGTTTTCGTGGTTAATTTTATGTGTTCACTTGACTGGGCCATGGGGTGGACACATATTTGGTTAAACATTATTTCTGGGTGTGTCTGTGAGGGTGTTTCTGGATGAGATCAGCACCTGCATTGGTAGACTGAGTGGAGCAGATGGCCTTCCCCAGCTCGGGTAGGCCTCATCCAATTCTTTAAAGGCCTAAATGGATAAAAAGCCTGAGTACAAAAGACGTTTCTCTCTCTTCCTGATGTCTTTCAGCTGAGACGTCAGTTTCTCCTGCCTTTGGACTTGGACTGGAACTTACACCATGGGCTGTCATGTTCTCAGGTCTTCAAACTCATACTGAAATGTACATGATCAGCTCTGCTAGGTCTGGACCTCTGAACCACCATAACTGAGTAAGCCAATTCCTTATAATAAATGCATGTATGTTTTTAGATATTTCTAGCTATCTCTATCTCCTATTGATTCCATTTCTCTGGAGAATTCTGACTAATACAGATTTTGGTACCAGGAGTAGGGTTGTAATGGAACAAAATGTTAAGGATGAGTTTTCTGAATTGGTTTTGGGATTTCTGGAATTGGCTCTTTTAATCTGATTAGATTTACAGACTGTTAATGACTCCATCTCCAGTAGTAAAGAGAGCATTATAATCCATGGTGTGGCAATAGAGGTATGCAAAATATCTCCATCAGTTTCTCCCAATCAACCAGCTGTGCAAAGCAAGTTGCTAGGTGACTATGTATATGATACTTTTGAACATTTTTATAAATCCAACAAATATAATGAGGTTGGCTGGTTGGTTCTAATGTCACTGGACAAAGTGGTAAAAGAAGAGGATGAATTTCCAGCTCAAGTGCTGCATAAATACCTGAAAGCTGCCATGCATGCTGTGAAGGAGACTTTTTATCTCCTGTAGCCACAAGGTTGAGATTTCTGAAAATCAAATGCAGAATCTCATACTTCAGTTGTCTGAATGTATAATAACTTGAACTCTGAGCCCTGCATGGGTCTACTCTTACAGTGAAGGATTGATTGAGAAAGAATGGGGCCCTGTGAGTTGGAATGGGGACATGTGGGAAGACTCTGATGAAGCTGGGGACACTGGGCACCTCAATTCTGATGGGTCTCCTTTGCCCGTGGAAGAGTCCTTCCCACCTTCCGTGAAAGGGGCATCCCGTGCCCTGTCTGAGGGGATTAACTCTGTATTTCCTGAGAAAACGGTAATGACCTTCCCTGAGGCAGTTGCCATGCCAGACATTGCAGATTCTTGTTAGTACTGCCCCCGAACAACCCCTCGTGCTTCTAGGCCCACAGCTAGACTCAAGTCCCAGCAGGTCCCCAAAGGTGTGGTACAAAGCATGACCCATGGGGAGGTGTACTACGCTCCAAAACAACTACTTGATTTTCTAATTTATGTAAACAGGAATCTAGGGGACATGTCTGAAAATAGATATTGAAAGTTTTGTATAATGGTGGAAGGAACATATAGTTGGATCAGATTGAATGTATTGATACGGGCTCAGTAAGCAGAGATTCTAATTTAATGTTGCAGCTCAGAGAGTGAGAAAGGGCTCTGACAGTCTGGTGTGTTGCCTGACACATGGATCAAAAAGGTGGCCGTAGTAAGTGACTTGGAAATGCCAGATCTGCCTTGGCTTAACATAGAGGAAGGGATTCAAAGGCCCAGGGAGATGGGAACGTTTGAGTGGGTTTGTCCTTGAGGATCTACTCACCCACATCGGGAGGTCCAGAAGATACACCTTTTACCTCTCCTGCGAGGGGAGCCCGGGTCTCTGAAGAGCTGTGTGCTCCCTGTTCTCTGTAGGCCAGACCTTGCTGGGAGACCTGAATGCAACGGGAGTAATTGGACCCTGAGGTCGCAGGGTGAAGGCAAGGTGGGTGTGGTCACTGTGATGGACAGCAGAGCCGAGACAGCACTCAGGGGCGTCCGACTCAAGAGCACCTATGGCACCAGCTGGTTGATCAAGGTGTTCCTAGAAGTGAAACAGAATGGAAGCTCACTAAATTCTTCCTTGATCTGTATAAGCAGAGAAGTTCTAGGTACACAGAACAAAATTCTAACTGGTATCATAAAGGTAGAGTCACAGTCTCTCAAGCAACCCCAGACTTGAGCCAGTTTACAGACCCAGACTCCCTGAATGGAGGGGAGGCCAGGTCCCCTTGAGGAAGGACCCTGGCACAGTGCCAAAAATGTATTCCGTTCATTTTTCTCCCGGCTTTCCCCAAGGGGATGTACAGCTTTTGACCAGGGTAACTGGGAAGAAAGAAAAAGACCTTTTGGGGACTACTGGATGCTGGCTCAGAACTGACACTGTTCCAGGGGTCAGCCTAGCTCACAGCAACCTCAAACTCCTGGGCTCAAGAGATCCTGCTGCCTCAGCCTCCCGAGTAGCTGGGACTACAGGCATGCGCCACCATGCCCGGCTAATTTTTTCTCTATATATTTTTAGTTGTCCAGCTAATTTCTTTCTTTCTTTTTATTTTTAGTAGAGACGGGGGTCTCCCTCTTGCTCAGGCTGGTCTCGAACTCCTGACCTTGAGCAATCCTCCTGCCTTAGCCTGCCAGAGTGCTAGGATTACAGGCGTGAGCCACTGCAGCCAGCCCCACAATAGAGCTGTTGAAATGTCTTATTTCTTCATTTAATCCTCACACCCTCACCTTACAGATGGGAGAACTGAGGTGCTCAGAGGGTGAGAAGTTGCTGGAAGTTATGCCCTGACGGCGTGGCCCTGGCTTCTGGGTCCCGGAGCCTGCCCTCCTCAGGACCAGCCCTGGCCACCCTCCACTGGGCCCAGGCCCAGGGTTGGGCGAGGGTGACCAGGAGCCCCCTGCCCACGGATGCCAGCTTGCACATGGGGGGTGTCTCCGATGGTGCCTCAAGCGTGCGGGGTGTGCTGGGAGAGTCCACTGATGCAGGACTGTCGCCGGAGGGGAGCGAGGCGGCCTCAGAGGGGGTCTCGCGTTGCAGGGGAGATTTGTTTCTGTACGTGAATAATGTACGGACGAGAGCCCTAGAGAGGATTGCTAGATGGGGCCTGCCGCTCACCTCCTGCTGTGCGGCCGGGCTCCCGACAGGCCATGCAGCGGTACCGGTCCGCGGCCTGGGGCTGGGGGCCAGGGCTGGAAGACGCACGGGACCCTTGTCTGCGCATTTCTGTGCGAGAGCGCGGTTCAGAGCTTCCTCCGGGGCGCCGGGGCTGCGGGCGGGCCGTGCCCACAAGGGGGCGCTGTGCTCCACGAAATGAGCGCGCCGCCCGCGCTCGCACTCGGCGTCCTGCTCCGGGTCCCCGACTGAGACCGCCCCGCGGCCTCGGGTGTGCGCCCTGGGCACCGTCGCTTTTCCTGCACGCGGACCCGCTCCGCTCCCGCGCCGCCGCCTCCTCCTCCTCCGCAGCGGCGGGCGCGTCTGCAGCCCTCGCTGGGCGCTGAGCCCCGCACGGGAAAGCTCCCCTTGCAGTCTCCGTTCGCAGCCGGCGGGGCTCAAGCCATCCTCCTGCCTCAGCCTCCCAAGTAGCTGGGACTACAGGCATGCGCCACCGTGCCCGACTATATATTTTTTTATATATTTTTTTTTGTCTATATATTTTGTCTATATATTTTTAGTTGTCCAGCTAATTTCTTTCTTTTTATTTTTAGTAGAGACGGGGTCTCGCTCTTGCTCGGGCTGGTCTCCAACTCCTGACCTTGAGCCTCACGCACCGACACCGGCCTCGCCGCGGAGGTTCTCGGCGTCCTGCGAGCGTGGGCTTCCACTGGCTTAGCTGCCCAACGGCCCCGCAAAGCCTGGTGCTGTGAGCCAGACCCCATCTGTCTGTGTGCTGGGATGGGAACCCCTACGGCGGGTACACCTGTCCCGTGAGGTCTGGGATGTTAGACGCCGGCTGGGAAGGCCGGAAGGCGGAGCCTGGAGTCACCTGTCCAAGGCTCGCTCCCTCCCGCGCCGGCTGGCCGCAGGTGCCGTGGGCGGGACATCGCTGCCCACGCGCTGCCTGGGCTTCCGCACAGCACGGGGCCAGGCCCTAAACACGAGCGGCCCCTGGAGGGAGCAGCAAGCCATTGTCTTTTATGACGTGGCCTCCAAAGTCACACAGTGTCACTCTGCGAGAACCTCGGACCCCCAGGTTCGAGGGACCGGAAACAAAGCAAACCCCGCGTCTCCATGGGACAGCGTCACTGTCACGCGGTCCGAGGAGCAGGTGGGAGGGACATAGGTGATCTGGCTCCCGTGGGTCCAGAGAGAATTAGAGTCTAAGCCTCCCTGGGAGGGACCCTGCGCCGGGCTTTGCCACCTAGTGCGGCGCTTCGCTGGCCCTGCAGCCTGGGTTCAGGAGGGGCTCGCCCTCCTCCAGCTCATGGCTGGCCTTGGTCAGTTTGGTTGGTTCACAGGTGGGCGGGGGACAGAAGGTGACTCAATCAGTCAGGGAAGGACTCATGTTCTGTTGCTGGGGGGAGAAAAGAGCCTCCCCCTTTCCCTGTCCCACTCTCCTTCCTTCCCTCCATGGCTATGAACGAAACCATATGTAGCCCCCAAGCTGCCGGCTGCCTCTTGGTACTCATGTGGGCAGCCAGGCTGCAGGGGAAGCTGGAAGGGGAGAACCGCAGGAACTCAGCCATGACAAGCCCCTGGATCAAACCCATCCTGAGGCTTACTTACTGCTGGATTTTCCTCCAGCTATGACTTCCCATAAACTCCCTTAATGTTTAAGGCTATTCAAGTTGGGCTTTCCAGCTTTGTTTTGTTTTTCAGCGTGGAAGGGCTCCGACTGACACAGATGGGAAGCAGGTCTACAGCTGGGTCGGAATTGGGGGTACCGGTGGCCAGCGCAGAGGGGAGGGTGGAAGAGCTGGAGATGACATTTACCAGGAGAGCTGAGAACCTCTCCCCGGTGGCTGAGCCTGGACCAAGGGGCCTTTTGCACCTCACACCCTTCCCGATTTGTGATGTGAGATGCCCGCAGGAGGCCTGCCGTCACGCGCTCCTGGAAGGCCGGGCTCACTCGGGTCTTTCAGGGCTGGCTGCCCGGGCTATCCACTCTGTGGTTCTGACGCCAGCTCACAGCCTTGACTTATTCATGGGAGCCCTGAGGGACGCAGCAGCCTGTCACTCAGACTCCAGGTGGCGTCTGCAGACTCTCCGCGCCTGCCCTGGGCATTGACTGAGGCCCAGGCTGGATCCAAGGGCTCACCCCTGGAGGGGAGGGCAGATGTCACTCAGACAGGGAGCACTGCTCAGCAGGGAGCGCGGGACAGAGTTGCTCACTTTGCCTGGGACTGCTTGGTGGGCACGGGCACCACCCAGGCCCCTTGGCAGGACACAGGTGCTCCTCCGGCCCTGAAAGCTCAGTGCCTCCCTGGAGCTGCCCTTGGCTAAAGGGGACAGCGTGGTGCAAGGTCATGCCCTTCCTAAGGGTGGTCTGAGTCCCCGGCTCATGGCAGGACATCTGTGCAGGCCCAGTGCAGCCCAGCGTTCCCACCACCCGCACCACCAAGATCCCTGCTCGCAGAGCCATCTCATTTGACCCCCAGGAACTCATCTGCAACAAGAAGGATGTGCAGTCTCCACAGAAGGGATATTTAAATTGGGTTCTGTTGATTATGTAGAAGTTTTCTGGGAAGAAAGGAGGGAGTGAACACAGAGGGAACAGCATGACCAAAGGCATGGCATGACAGTGCCAGGGGCTCCTTGTTCAGGGTGCCTCAGCAGCTACGTGTGGCTGGAGCTGGGGACTGGAGGGTTCCATGCCTGCCAGGCCTCCCCATGTGGTCCTGACCTCTGGGTCACTCTTGGAGCTGCCTGACCCCAGACAGATTCTCTAGAGGGGAGCAAGTGATGGGTTTGAGAGCAAACTTTGTTTTGCAGGCATCAGCGGGGCCACGTGTCCAGTGCAGGCCTCACCTGCAGGCAGACATGTGATCTGTGGCCTGGCATTGGGAAGCCAACAGCTGCCTGTAGATTTGGGCTCTGTGTCTGCCCTAGAATGTCCCCCACCTGCCCTGGCGAGATTCCACCATGAGCACCTTGGACTGGGTTTCACATCTAAGGGCTAGTGGGGGTAACATCTCTTCCAGGGGTTCGGAATCGGGACTCTGGGAAATCCTTGGACAAGGACCCAAGTACAGGAGGAGCATGTGCAGGGCAGGGGGCTGCTGTGCACCTGGGGCCTGGGGCCACCTGAGGATGGGGACACCTTCCGGGTGGCATCTCCCTGACCTTCCTTCCTTCTTCATGTCTCTCACTTTCGGGGGCTCATGACTACGTGCAGGGCCCACCTGGATAACCCAGGTCCACATCCCCTTCTTGAGGCCCTTAACTTAATTACATCAGCAAAGTCCCCTTTGCCCTGTGAGGTGACGTGTTCACAGGTTTGGGAGTTAGGAGGGGGACATCTCTGGGGGCCACAGGGTGTATTCTACAGCCCCCTTCCATCCCCAGGGAGCTCAGGAGGCCCCGCCCTGCGCTGGGCTACGTAGCGAGGGCTGGGGAGACCCCAGGGCACACCCGAGGGCCAGCTAAGCCAGGCCACTTAACCCTCATCCTCACTCCCAGGAAGGGTCTTGTGCTGAGTCTGCGCCAGGACCCACAGCGGAGCAGTGGGGAGGTGAGCGGGGCATTGGGGTCTCAGCAGGGCAGGCTAAGAATAGCTTGTGGCCATGGGCCCTGGGCCCAGTCCCCCTGGGGGCCTCAGAGCTGCCACAGAAGGGCCCAAGGCTGAGGCCTGTAGCCCCAGCCTGCCTTTCCCGCAGGCAGGAGAGGGGCAGTGGCCATGCTTGCAGCGGCCGCTTCATCAGTGCCCCAAGCCGGAGAGGCACTGGGAGTGGCCCCAAGCACCTGCCAGGTGCAGTTTCCAGCCGGGAGTCTTGGTTCTTCTAGCGGCCGCTCATCAGAACAGCAGCAACTTGGTGAAAATGGAATCTTTGCTCCCCACTGACCCCCGTTCTGTAGATCCAGCTGTGGGGCCTGGGAACGAGCACTGGACGGGCTCCCTGGGGACCCAGGGAGGACCTGGAGCACACAGTCTCTGTGGCCATCACAGGGCAGCTGCCGCCTGGCACTCCTGCCCGCCCGCACCGCCACGGCTTCCCTCCCGCCTTCCAGGGCGTGGCTGCGGTTAGATTTATGGAGATGGCGTTTCTGCCTCAATCCCCTTCCGCCTCTGCCGACCCATTTATTACCGTGTTAATTAAGCACCCTGTGTGCATCTTCCCCGCAGATGCCTGCAGCTCCCCGATGTCACTCATCTGCCTGACGCTGACAGGGAGCTGAGGATAACTGTCACTTACCGGCTCTTCTTCCATGTTAGCTTCTGCAGCTCTTGTATAAAATTTCCAGATCTCAATCCAGAGCCCGCCGCACTGGGCTCTTGAGCAGACAGACCCCTGGGTGTGGATGCGCTCAGGGTTGGTCTCCCCTCTCCTGCCTGTGTCCTGTCCTTGGTGACTGCTGCAGTCCCCGAGACTCTGCCCCGGTGTCTGCCAACCGCAGGGCTGGCTGGGACTCAGACGGAGTGTGGGGGGCACTGGCGGCAGCTCCCACCCATGCCGGGGGACCGCCAAGCCCGGGCTGGGAAGGGAGAGCCAGGCAATGCAGTTCTTCCTTGGGTGTCCTCCTGCGACACTGTATTTAGTATTATAAAGATTTTCAGACTTTTCCAGAGGCGTTTGACGAACTGTTCAGTGAACACTCACACGCCCACCCTTTAAATTCTAGAACGGACTTTTTCTACATTTGCTTTCTCATATATCCGCCAACCTATCCATCCATCACTCTGTGTTACTGTTTTGGTGCATTTCAGAGCAAGCTGTGGGTCAGTGGATGCTAAACCCCCCAGGCCCAGCTCTGCACGGCGCCTGCGTGGCCTCTCTTCAAACCCCTCTGCAGAAGGGGCCCCACCGCCCGCCCCGGCCCCCCATTCCATCTGCTCCGGCTGTCACTGAGTCCTCTCCTGTGCCAGGGCTCCAAGGACAGGCTCTGTTTCTCCCAGCTGTGACTTCAAATGGCACCGAAGGGACCTGCCCAAGAGTCAGGGCTTCCTGTGGCGCGTCTGAACCCAGAGGGCTTGCTAGAGACTAGGGCCTGGGCTCACCCCAGAGCTTCTGACCGCAGGTCTCTGGAAAGATCTGAGAACCAGCCTCTCTAACCAGCTCTCAGGTGAGGCCACGCTGCTCACCCAGGACCCCGCTTTGAGAATCTCTGGTCTAAGCTTACATGGTTTTTTGGGGGTATAATTACCCCTAAAGTAACTGGAAGGGCTAAAGTGGTAGCCAGTGTGTCCTGCCCTAAGCTGCTTTTCTCTCCCCCCAGGGGTGGCCACGCCAGCCCCTCTCTAGGTGGCCTCAGGTGCCCTGGCTGCTGGCTGAGGGGCAGGCACCTCACTAGGGCGGCTGCTGGTGTTCTGTGCGTGGGTCCCTCTCAGGTGGTGTGTCCCCTCGGGGGCTGGCTCGGGCTGTCCAGTGGCCTCTGTGACTCTCCTTTCTACCTGCATGTCTCAGGCTCCTCTGACCATCAGGGGTTGTGATCTTGACCACGTCCCCGGAGAGAGGGCGCCATTAAACCGGACGAACCGTGGCACCTAGTAACCCACCTTGGCCCAATTTACTTCCTTTGTCCCTGCCCAAAGATAAAGCGTTCTGTAAAACAATGAGTTCGTGTCTCTGAGAATGCCTTCGCCTCTTTCTGCGGGCTGGGGAGCGCCGGTTTTCACGCCCTGCTCTTGCAAATGGAGTCATTAAAGAAAGAGTAAACTTGCATTAATTGTCGATGGCCTATTAGTAGCTATGTAGATGTCCATGCTGGCAATGGGTGTGAATTTCATTAATTTCTCCGTGCTTTGGGGCTTGGCTTGAACTCAAAGGCACTCCTTGAGTGAACTCTTGTAAAAGCTTTAATTAACTCTTGCCGGTGTCAGTATGTTTTATCACCTCTGCGGCCCACAGCCTCCCCTGGTGTCCAATTTACTCAGATGTTCCAGCTGCCAGGATGAAGGCTGGCGCGGTGCTCTGCCTCGGGGTGGATTAAGTTGCTTTATGGGCTCTGGCTGGAGGGGGATCTCTCTCCTTCAGAAGCAATGACGCACTGCTGCTCTTCCCTGGGGGGTATCCCGAACTTGCGGTGGAACTTGCTGCATCAGAAATGGAGGGGCATGGACACATGACCTTGGAATGGCCTCAAGGGCACAGACGTGGGGTCTAAAGTCTTGTATTCAGGTCCAGACCATCCCTTGGAAGAGGTGGAGTGGGGGCAGGGATGTGGCCTCACGGAAGGCAGGTGAGGGGTGCCCCGGGCCCCAGGGGGGCATAGCTGCTTACTCTGTTGTTTGGTGGGCTGGGGGTCCACGGCTGCTTGGCCCCCGAGGTTATCGAGCTTCTATGTTTCTTGTCTCAGGGCTGTCAAGGGGAGGGACATCAGCAGCACGTGGCCCCATCCAGAGTCACCTGCCCACATTCCTGTGTGTTTGCTCATTGGATGAGGAGGGGCTGGGAAGCAGCCTGCCCAACCAGGGACGGAGTGGGGCCAGTGGGTGGACACCCTCTCCCTATGGGGGTCCCCTCGGCGGTACCTTTCACAGCGTCAGAGAGCCCAGTGGGACAGAGCCAGTGCCTGTCTCCAACAGATCCCTTTCCTGGCCTCTCCTCACCTCCCTGCCTGCCCCGGCTCCTGCTGCTGGCGCCATCTTCCTGGTAAACTGCCTGCTGCAGGCCCCTCCTCCAGTCTGCTGTGCGGACACCCAAGGAGGACAAAGGTGAGGCGAGGGTACAGGGAGACCAGGCCATGGAGGGGGCCTGAGGATGAGGCTGTGGAGAAAATGAGAAAAAGACATAATGAGAAATTCATTTGAAATACAAACTTGTACACATAATGCTCAAAACCCAGGTCCTAAACCCCAGCACCTTGGAGCCAGAAGATCCCTGGCAGGTTGTCACAGCCTCAAGGAAGGGGACTGAGATCCCCTGAGGCTGAGGGTTCAAGGTCTGTGGGGTGGAGGAACCTGAGTCTGCCTTGGCTTTCCTTTGGGACCAAATCCAAATAAATCTGATGTTGATCTTCGAGGCTGGTATCTTAATCCATTTTCTGTTGCTATAACTGAACACCTGAGACTGAGTAATTTATAAAAGAAATTAGGAAAAGGAATGTATTTGGCTCATGGTTCTGGAGGCTGGGAAATCCCAGGGTGTGGCAGCAGCTTCTGGTGAGGGCTTTCCCGCTGCTTCATAACTTGGTGGAGGGCATGGCCAGGTGAGAGGGACACACCGAGAGCCAAACTGGCTTTTATAACCTGTTCTCATGATAACTCACCCCCTCTCACGATAACCCATGAATCCATTGATCCAGGCATGGATTAATCCATTCCTGAGGGCAGAACCCTCCAGACCCAATCACCTCCCAAAGTTCCCACCTCCCAACACTGCTGCACCAGGGACCAAGTTTCCAAAACATGAAATCATGGGACACATTCAGCCCAGGGCAGCTGGCTACTTTGCTTTGATTGAGGTAATATTTACATACAGTGAAACGTAAGATCTGAGGTTCCACAAGCTTTCACAAATATATATATACTCACGTGACAGGTACTGCACTCGTGCTAGCAAACATTTCCGTCACCTGGAAAATTCCCTGGTGCTCCTGACAGTCGGTCCATGCTACTTCCTAGGCAACCATTGTTCTGATTCTGTTACCTGTGTCAGCCTTGCCTGTTCTTGAACTACATGTAAGAGGAATCACGTAGTTCACCTTCTTCTGTAACTCGCTCTGTTTCTATAATGCAACATTTTTGAATGTTGAACCATGCTGTTGTATGTGTGTCAGTTGCCCATTCATTTCTATTGAGGAGCAGCATTCCATTCTATGAATAGACTACATTTTGTTTATCCATTTATTTATGTATGTTACCTTTTGCCTACTCTTTGCCTATTATGGAAAATGCTGCTTTAAATGTTCTTATACAATATTTTGTGTGGACATATGTTTTCATTTCTCTTTGGGGGCTTGTTGAGCCATTGGGTAGGTGTATGTTTAGTTTTATAAGAAACTGCCAACCTGGTTTCTAAAATGGCTGTTCCACTTTGCATTTCCACCAGTAATGCACAAGAGTTCCTGTTGCTCCAAGTCCTCACCAGAACTTGATACCATCTGTCTTTCATTTTAGCCATTTTGGGGTGTGCAGAACAGCATCTTATTGTGGCTATATTAAATAATTTGCACTTCCCTGATAATTAATCATGTTGAGCATCTTTTCATGTGATTGTTGGACATCTGTATATCTTATTTTGTGAAGCACCTGTTCATGCTTTTTACTCATTTTAAAAATGGATTGTCTTTTTATTATTGATTTGTATTTTTAAATATTCTGGCTGGATATAAGTTCCTTATCAGGGATACATATTACAAAAGTTTTTCCCAGTCAGTAGTTTGTCTTTTCATTTTCTAAATGTTGTCTTTTCCCAAGCACAAGTTTTTCATTTTGATAAGTGCTTTTTATTTTCTACTACTCCATCTACTTTCAGTTGAGATGTAGTTAGACTTCCTGAGCTGGAGTTGTATTTTAATTTTTTTAATTCAAAAAATTTAATTATTCCCACATACACCATCCCTTCCCTCCCATACACACAAACACATATACACACACACACCCCTCACCCCTTAGTATCTAGTGTTGGCAGCCGTGAATGTATCCATACACATTTCTCTATGCTCACAAACACATATACACATATATGGGATTTTAAAGACTTAAATTAGAGTATACTATGTATAGGAAACTATTTTTTTCATTTAACAGTGCATTGGCTCATAGATTAAGGTCATGGCTAGAGATCTAATTCATTCTTTTTGATTGTTGTACAATATTCCAGAGAATGAATATACCACAATTTATTTAACCACTTCTTTCTTTCTTTCTTTCTTTTTTTTAAGGTTTTTATCCTTTCATTTTGCTGGATATTCAGGTTTTTCCAGTTTCTTGTTGCCTTAAACAATGCTGGAAAACAAGCAAACATGCAAGCCAACAGACACTGACCTTTGAATTCTGTTGCTTTTTTCCTATGGGATAAATGTTGAGTCATAGAGTGTGTGTATTTGAAACTTAATAGCTAGTGCAGATTTCTTTCCCCCAAGGCTGTAGGAATTCATGCTCCCAGCCCCACCAGTAACGAGTGGGGCCGTCGGTGCCCCAGGACTTTGTCAGCCTTGAGTGTCGTTGCATCACTTAGTTTTCAGTCTGATGGGTGGTGAAAGTCTTACTTCACTGCAGCCCAATACATTTTTCTGTTTATTCATTTACAAAACTGATCTGTAAAATTTATCTACATGATGTTTTCTCTGCTCACAAATGTTCTTTTTCTTTAATGGAATCCAGTGTGGTTTAGTTCTCTTGGTTTCTCTCTTGCATTCTTTCTTGCTCTCCATCCTGTCATTTCTCAAGTGACATGTTTCAAACATTTCCTGGGAGATCCTTGGTTCTCATTCAGTTATGTTTCATTTTTTAAAAAAAGAATTATGACTGTCTCCACGTGTTTCCCTCCCATCCTGGGACCCTGTGTGGCGGTATCGTGTGCCCGTGTTTGTGAATTCCCTGGGAACCCAGTGTCAGGGTTTCTAGATAAGATTTTCATCACAGCTTGCCTTATAAAAATCTTTTCATTTTGTGATTGTGTCCTACTGTTCTGAATGTGGTTTCTTTTTAGAGAACCGATTTCATTTGTGATGAAATGCATTCCCATTGAATCTGAGCCTCCCTCTGTGAGAACTTTGAGTTGGTGTCTGAGCATTTCTTCCTTTTGGTGGGTTTGGTCACAGGGTATTCAGGGCTCCTGTCCTCTCTGGAATGAGCACCCCACACCCCAAGTCAACACTGTTAGTTTCCGTCCACTTGACAGCAGAGGCCCAGAGGCCGGGTGCCTGGAGAAGGAAGGGCTGACCTCTTAGACGACCTTGAACAGGATGTGCATGGTGGGGCCCATGCCACATCAGGAGAGAAGAACAAATTGAGTGTGAGTAAATGGTGTACTTCTGAGCACCTTTCTTCTGAATCACCCACTCTGGCATTTAAAATTTTATTTTATTGATACATAATATTTTACATATTTATGGAATACATGTATTTGTTATATGCATGGAATGTGTAATGATCAAGCCAGGGTATTTGGGGTATTCATCATCTTGAGTATTTGCCATTTCTGTGTGTTGGGAACATTTCAAATCCTTTCTTCTAGCTACTTTGAAATATACTATGCTTTGTTGCTAACTATGTCGACTCTACTCTGCTACAGAACATTGAATTTATTAATATTCCTTCTATTTAACTGTGTGTTGGTGCCCATGGACCAGCCTCTCTTCAGCCCCCTCCCACCCAGGCACCCTTCCCAGCCTCAATGTCTGTAATTCTGCTCTCCGCCTCCGTGAGGTCATGTGTTTTATCTCCTACATGTGAGAACACGCAGTATTTGTCTTTCTGTGTCCAGCTTATTTCACTTTAACATGATGACCTCCAGATCCATCCATGTTGCCATATACTACACCATTTCATATGGCTTTTTGAAGAGGCTGAGGTTGGAAAACTGCAGGCAAAAATCAAATCACAGGAGTGCTTTCCATAGAACCCAACGATGCTAATGTTACATGAGAATTGCATATACAATAAACGAATACAAAAGAAATTTAAAAATGTATATAGATATAAAGAGTGTGTGTGTGTGTGTCACTGAAAGAAAACCACAAAAATATTTGGGGGAGATTATTTATAAGTAGTGATATTTTGGGTGAGTTTTCTCTTTTTCATTATGTTCTGTGATGTAATACTTCAAATTTTCTACATAGAACATTGTCAGAACTAGGGTTGGACGGCTTTGCTGAGCCCAGCGGCCCACGGACCCCGCGTCTCAGGGAGAGGCTGAGGGGAGGTTCGCACGCCTCTTAGCCTCTGCCCTCGCTGGCGGCCTGGCCTGCACGCCTTCGTCCTCCCGCCTCCAGCCCCCGGGGAGCAAGCCCCTCTGGGCTTCCCGCCTCCCATGCCTCAGTTCCCCTGCAGCAGTCCTCTGAGGCAGGCGGCGCTCGGTCCTCCCTGCGCGGCGGGGCCGCAGCCAGCAGGGGCCGCTGTGGGGCCGGAGCCGGGACGGAGGCTGCCGAGACCCCCACCTGCCTCCTGTGTGGGAGGGGCACCTGGGGCCGGCGTTTCTGAGGAAAGAGGCCTCCTTTCCTCTTAGCCCTCCAGAGGGGAGAGTGTCCCCTGAGAGAACCTGCACAAAGATGGGGGCGCCTGCCTGGGCACGCGCTGCGGCCAGCCCAGCCGCCAGGACAGCCACCTGGCGGTGCCCGGAAGCAGGACCCCTCCCAGCTGCCCCCGCCAGGCCCAGTCTCATCAGGGAAGATCAAGATCTTTG